TTGCAGAATCTGCATGTGCCATCTTGGATTGTTCCAATTTTCTATAAGTGTCCATTTAATCTGCAGGTCCTGTTAAGAATTAATTCATATATTATATATATGTATATAAATATACATATAAACAGCATGTTCAAACTGGAAATCAGTGAGAAAAAAACATCCGTCTTACCTAAAAACTAATTTGTATCGATTTCCATAAAAGTTTCTGTAAGATCGAACTGTTCTTGAATAGTTGATAGTTCAAACATTTGTCTAATATAAATTACTTTTATTTTAAGAGATGCAGTAAAGAAATAAACATAAATGGTACTGCAACATAATTCACAGTCCAGGTACATTCAAGAGAGGAGAAAATGTCCCAGACTTTATCCCGGCACAAATTAGTAGACTTGCTTAATTAAACCGCCTTGATTAAAATGGATTATGCCATGTGAGCTGACAACCAAGGTTTGCTTTTATTTTTGTATTTTATTTTTTAGGAACCTTACCTCGTAGAGTATTTCATTTATTTTAACGTATGTACTAATTTGTCTATGACTTGTTCCTGTCCGTATTCCGAGGAAAAAGATAAAATGAGTGAAAATGAAAGATAGACTGAATAGATAGTGAAGTAGGAATAACAGGTGAAAAAGTATGCAAAAATTTTAAATAGTGACACATAGGAGAAAAATGAAAAAAAAAATGCTGAAATACTAGGTAAAAATTCAAAAATGTTTAAAAAGCAGTAATGAGAGGGAAAGAAAAAAAAAGGAAGTAATAGAAATGGACTAAGAGAGGAATGGAAAGAATCATAAAGAAAAAGTTAGACGAAGAAACGGAGAGAGAAAGAAGAAGAATGCAAGAATATACTGACTGACTGGAACAAAAGAGAAAAAACCGCGTGTGGATGAAAGAAAGGGTTAAAAAGGATGATTAAAAAAGAAAGGAAGAGTGATGGAAAAATAGGAAGCGAGAATTGAAGAGAGATTTATAGATGAATAGTCAGAAGGGGAGTGAGGGAGATACGGAGAGATAGCTACTAGAAAGGAAGTAAATGGAGTACGGTAGCAAAAAAATACATATTAGGCTAGGAAAGAAACAGTCTGTAAGAGAGAGGAGGAATATGACTGAATAAGTAACAGAATGAGAATGAAAGAGATTGAATTGGGTGGAGTATGAACAAATTCACAATAGGATAATCAACAAACAGTGACAAAGGGAAAGAGAAAAAAAGATTAGGTAGAAATAAAAATACAGAAGTAAGAGAAAATGAGACTGACGAGGACAAAAAATGTGAATTAAGTTGTATATTTTTTTTTATTTATGTTAGAAAACATATCCATGTTGTTTTGTAAACAAAAAAGTAAAAACATTACATGTTTACATTCATTTGGAAGTTTTGGGAGTTTAAACCCATCTTCTGCATCCATACTTTTTACAAAATGACAAGTATAACATAGATATTCACATTTGACATTTTATTAAAATGTTTATTAGATTGTATTAAATTTATACAAAGTATTGCCATCTTGCATTTGTAATTTAAGTTTATTTATATACATTTATCTATTATTTCTAAGTAATATTTAAAAAAAAAAATACTTTCCAACAAGCCACATACCCAAAATGGAAGAAGGGTATCTATTGTTTTTTAAATGAGCCGTTTTGTTTTTTTCAGAATGATTTTTTCAGAAATCTAATTTTTTGGTGTATTTTTAATCATATGCATTTTTTCATAATAATTTTAATGTGTGGTGATAAGTGACCGCTAGTCAATGATTATTAAGAATTCGTGAGATGCGGTCTGGTGTGATGTAGGTTTCAGAAAAGCATTTTCTTTATCGATCTTTATTGAGATCATCTTCAGGGCCTGGGATGTTTAAATTTAAAAAATGCTTGTAAATCTCAGGCCCTGAAGATGATCTCAATCAAGATCGAAACGTTGGCATGATAAAGAAAATGTTTTTCTGAAACCTACATCATACCAGACCGCATGTCATGATTTCTTAACAATAAGTTTAATTTATTTTAGATTTTTTACAATTTTTATTTACATTAAGGACGTTTTTTTAGCCTTAATATATTTTATGTTTGCCTCGAATTTAAAATATTGAATTTTTTTATTTGTTTTTTTATTAGATTTTAAAATAAATTTAATTATTATTTAATATCGGAAATAAGGACGTTTGGTTATAATTAGTTTTTTCACTTGTTTTTGTAATATATATGCATTGCAAGATATGTCTTTTACAATCTCTTTGTACTTCCTTACTCTCTTTACAATCTCGCGCCTGTTTTGTTCAAATCCAAAATGTGTGGATTTTTATGTTTTGAGCAATTTATATGTAAAGAGGGCTGGGTTATTTTTGTATATTTC